GGAAGATCAGGGGAAAGAGCCTGAGTCCTTCGTAAACCCCCTAGCATGCCCCCTCTGCTCATGGTGCCCTGAGTTCAGCAAGGCGTTTCGTCCAACCACCATTAAACCCTTGTGAATTTGATGGTGATGGAGATGCCGGATGGCCGGGTAGGGAATGTGGACACTGAACTGGTTGAACCTTAACTAAAAATCAATGATTAATGACTCTGAGTTACTGTGACCTTCTCCACAGCGGCCCCATTGTAAATTGTAGCCGGTCCCCCTCTGGCACACCTTCTCCTGTTTCCCTGCTGGATCCCTTCCCGTGATACCCAGCACCCCCAGCATTTTTATCTGTTGAGTCTCTTGCTATTTTCTTTGTCAAGGAGAATGTGTGTTGGAGGGCAAACTGCTCATCTTGTTTTGTTAACTTGCTGAATCTCAAATGTCTGCAGGAATTTCTAGCACATGACAGGTGTTCAGTGAATATCTGCTACCTGGTGGTGTACTGGTTATGTGTTGGGCTGCTCACCTCAAGGTCCACAGTTTGAAACCACCAGCTACACTGTAGGAGAAAGATGAGGCTCTTTACTCCCATAAAGAGTTATGGTTTTGGAAACCCACTGGGGCAGTTCTAGTCTGTCCTGTGCAGCCACTATGAATGGGAGTAGGCTTGACGGCCGTGGACTTGGTTGTATTGGACAGAAATGAACTGACCGGTGCATACCCAGGTCTTCAGTAGAGCCCTGGTGTCATAGGGAGTTACACATTGGACTTCTAACCACACGGTCAGCAGTTTGAAACCACAAGCTGGTTTCATGAGGCTTTCCCTCCCATAAAGAGTTACAGAAACCCACAAGGACAGTCTTGCCTGGACCTGTCGGGTAGCTGTGAGTTGAATCGACTGGATGGAATTGAGTTTGAGGATGATTCTTTGCTTTGTTTTTTTGAAAAGGAATCCAGAAGTCCTTCCTATTTTAGGACTTTAACAGTCATCTCAAAGCAATGCCACAAATAAAACTGCAGATGACCCAAAGTTGGAGGGGAAAATTAATACGGGGACTGGTTGAAGAGAAAGGTTAATATTGAGCACACCCAAAATCAAACTCACTACCATTCAGTTGTTTCTGTAGCACAGTGACCATACAGGTCAGGCTGGAACTGTCCCTATATGTTTCTAAGACTGTCAGTCTTTAAACCCAAACCAAACCCAACTCACCACCACCAAATAGGTTCTGACATTGCGACCCTATCAGACAGGCTGGGACTCTCCCCAGGAGTACTGGGTGCTTTCAAACCGCTGACCTTGAAGTTGGCATCTCAACTCTTCACCACGATGCCCCCAGGGCTCCAGCTTCAAAAACCCACTGGGGCAGTTCTAGTCTGTCACATAGGATGGCCCCGTCAAATCTGTCCTGGAAGAGGTACACTACTAGCATGTCCTGTAGAAGGGAGGCAGGCGAGACTTCATCACATGTGCTTTGGAAGTGCTGTCAGGAGGAAGCAGACCCCGGACAAGGATGTTGAGGGTCAGCGACAAAGAGGAAAACCCCTCTAGGAGATGGATTGATCCTGCGGCTGCAATGACGAGGGCCCAACAATTGTGAGGGTGACTCAGTGGCTGGACAGGGTTCCATTCTATTGTCCACGGGGCCACTATGACTTGACGTGTGACAACATGTAGCAACAAGAGCAACCACACCTTCGAAATGGGTAAACGAAAGATGGGCAGAGCAAGAGACCAAAGAGTCCTTTTGGGTGCCCCAAACAAGCCAAATCCACCGGCAGTGAGGTGATCACACTCCTACTGACCCTGCGGTTCACAGGGGCACTGCCCTTTCGTTTCCTGTTTGGGAGCGGACCACCTCCTCGCCGTGGCTTCCACCGCTGGTGGTTTCCAACCACTGACCTTGCAGTTAATAGCTCACCATGTAACCCATTACTCACCCCCAGCAAGGCTCCTTCCTCTCGAGTAAGGAGCTAAGAATAGAAATCTGTTCAGAAGGCGGCCTGAGCTCTATAATGAATGCCTGTGGGGAGGACCGTCGGTGATGCTGGGTCCATCTCAGGCCCAAGCCTTCGGGGTGTTTCTGTAGTCTGCCTCCCATGCTGCCCTCCACCCAGCATCTGTGCCACATGCCTGCAAAATAGGCCCTGAAGTGGACCCCTTCACCTCCAGGGCACCACACCAGGTGGAGCCTCTGCCCTCTCTAGCTCTGCCTACTTCTTTGATCTAGATCAGTGATTCTCAACCTTCCTGATACCGAGACCTTTTAACACAGTTCCTCATGTTGTGGGGACTCCCCAACCATAACATTATTTTTGTTGCTCCTTCATAACTGTAATTTTGCTACTGTTACGGATTGGACTACCCCTGTGAAAGGGTCATTTGATCCTCAAAGGGGTCACAACCCACAGGTTGAGAACCACTGATCTAGAAGGTCTCCCTTGCTCTACCCTTCCCCACAGTCTGACCCCAGAGTGCTCCTGTTAAGAGGCAGCAGCCAGCGCCCCCTCAAGCTCCGTTTCACACCAAGAAAAGCATTCTGATGGTGATGTCCGGACCCCAGTGGGCCCCCTCCTCCCTCTCTGAGTTCCTCCCTGCCTTTGTCTTATCTATTCAGGCTGCTCCAGTGGGCTTGCTGGCCTCCTTGCTGGCCTGAAAACATGGGCTTCTTCAACAGCAGCGGAACTGGGGCAGCCTGCCACAAACCCAACCACCTCATCTCAGCCAGAGTCTCCAGAGCAGGGGTGCCCCTCAGGTCATGCTGAGTTTCAGCTAGTCTGCTCCATGCCTGGTCACCTCTCCAGACACCTCTGCCCTCCCCTCTCTTGTGCTGTCCATTCCAACCCTGCCTGCTCGCTCCCTCCTACACCAGAGTTTCCTAGGCACTTGGCTTGGACCATCCATCCCATAATGCTAGCCTGCTTTAATGATGCTCTGACAGAGGTGCATGGTCCCAACAGACCAATGGACCACATGCCAGCAGCATTTGCAACCTGCCTAGGGTTTGCTGCCTGCCCTGGTTCCATGCCTTCCACTTCTCCCCCAACCCTGGCCAGTGTGGGGTTCGGGTGCAGCCTCGTGAGCCAGGTGGCCTACTCTGCAGTGACAGCCCCTTCACTGGTGAGCTGCGTGGCCTGGGGAAAGTTGTCTGGTCCTTCTGAGCCTGCTTCTGCATCTTCAACCTGAGGGGTTCCTTTTCATGCTCTGGGCAAAATACAGAAGGCCATCTGTGCTAAATAAAGGCTTTGTGAAGGAACCCTGGTGGCACAGAGGTTTAGGAGCTCATAGGTAGGTGGTTCAAACCCTTCAGCTGCTACTGGTAAAGAGTCCCAGTCCCTGAAACCTTAAGGGGTGGTCGTGAGTGGGAATCCGCTCAAAGGCAGTGGGTCAGCGCTTTGTACAGTTCCCAGAATGGTAAGAGTGACAGTTGCTAAGCAGAAGGAAGACTGGAGGAGAACCGATGCATGTGAATGATGGTGCTGGCAAGGACGGCCAATAGAACACACACACACACACACACACACACACACACACACACACACACATCTTGGAAGAAGTATGGCCAGAATGCTCCCTAGAGGCAAGGATGCGAGACTACATCTCCTGTGCGTTGGACACGCTGTCAGGAGAGGCCGGGCCCTGGACAAAGACGCTATCTCGGTCAAGTGAAGGGGCAGTAAGAGAGGAAGACTTTCCAGAGGAAGAGCGGCAACAAGACGACTGGCACAGTGGCGCCAACAATGAGCCCACACACGAGAACAATTGTGAGCGTGGCGCGGGAGCGGGTAGCACTGAGCTCTGTTGCACAGAACCAACACAGCAGCACCCAACAACAGAGCCGTCCTTACGCGATGCATCGTGTTTCGGTTCCGAGACGTGGGGTGGTTTCCCCAAGACCCCTCCGCTGCCTGTGGGCAGACCAGGGCTCAGTGTTTAGGCCATAGAACAATTAAAGACCCTCCTGGAAGGCTGGGATCTGGGCACTCTGTAGCCTTGGCCCTGTCATGTGACGACCCGGGTCCCATGCCTGACCAATGCTCCTCGTGCACACCTGTCACACCTGTGAGGGGAGCTTTGGGTACTGCTGTGATACTGATGGAGGCTGAGTGTGTTTGCGTATGTGTGTGCATATGCATGTATGTGTGTGTGTATGTTTCTGTGTAGGTGTATGAATGTGTGTGGGTGCAGCGTATATGTGTGTGTTTCTATGCGTATGTGAATATGTGTGTATATGCATGTTTCTGTGAGTGTGTGTGTAAATACCGCGGGAGCTGGGTTTTCTTTGTGACGTTAATGAAGTTCTCTCAGTGTAGGATGTGGGTGACATCAATCTCTTTCTGAGATCTAAAGACCAGAGTAAGCATGCAGAGACGAGGACAAGAGATGCCATGAAACGGGGCTCTCTAAGGAATCAGGAAACAGGCAAACGGAGATAAGAACCTTCTCCCAGAGACAACACACACGCACAGGGAGAGAAGCCTTTCCCCTGGAGCTGGTACCCTGCTCTCATCCTTCAGTCGCTCGAGAGGATGCACCTGCTCTGTGCTAAAAGCGCCCCCTTGTATTCCTGGCACAGCAGTGCTGGAGAGCGGAGACAGGTGCTGGCTGGTGCCGGGAGCTTCCAGATGAAGACAGACTAGGGAAGAGGCTTGGTGATCTGCATCCCTGACTCAGCCACAACACCACTGAAGCATGGCCACAGAGGACCGCTCCACACCCCAAGGGGAGATGCGCCCCGTGGTTGGAAGACACTCGGGACATGCACTGGCCTCATCCCTGGACTCCAGCAAAGGGATGATGGTGAAGGTGTCACAAGACCAGGTGGCATTCTGCTCTGCCATGCGTGAGGCAGAGCCAGCTCCACGATCACAATATGAACCCGAGGCCAGGAGGTGAACGCAGGCCTGCCTGGCCTCCAGCCACACCCGAGTCCCTGCACACCCAGCCTTCCTGCGTCTGTCCATGTCTGCCAACCTTGCCCCCAGAAGGCAGCGCCCTCCCACCTCCTCCTCACCACGGGTGGGCGCTCCATCAGCACCCAGAGCTTCTGACTCAGCTCCCGGCGGGCCTTCTGGAACTTGCTGTCCAGGGCGGGGGAGAGGGAGCCCACCAGCCCCAGGATCATGTGGCTCTGTAGGAATTCCCTGTGGAAGGCAACCCCACACATGCCCCTCTGGTAAGCAGTGCCAGGTGTCCCCCAGCCCCCCGGGTCAACTGGCCTCCTCGATGGTGGGGAGACCTCCCACTTGGGCAGGAAGCCAGAAGGGCTTTCCTGAGCATGGGGTGGGCTGGCGGAGGTCCCTCAGCCTCCCGCCCTTCCCTCCACCCAAGACCCCACAGGCCAACCTCCGCTGCATCCGTAACAGGTGCGACATGTTCCTCAGGTACTCCAGGTCATGGACTGTGACGGGCTGCGAGGGGTTCAGGCTCATGGGCGTGAATGCCGCTTGCAAGCAGGACAGCCAGTCAATGGCAGGGGCCATCTCCTTAGGGGGTGGGAGTGGGGCACACGGAGGCTGAGGGGAGCAGAAGGGGCTTCCCTCGGGTGTGAGAGGAAGGAGGAGGCCTAGGGTAGAGCTCGGGCCAGGCAAAACAGTATTGGAGAGCAAGGAGGGCAGGGAGTGGGGACGCAGTGCTGACCCAAGCCCTCATGCCCACCCTCAGCCCTGCATCCCAGGTACCTGTAGCTGGGCAATAGTGACCACCTGGGCCCGCTGCTGCTCCGGGGGCCGCAGGAACTGGCACAGCTGAGAAGTGATGGAGATGGACAGGCCGGCGTGCTCCTGCACCTTGGCAGGGGCCCCTCCCAGCAGGGCTCCCAGCTGGTTCAGGTAGGCCAGGTACTCCCTCACCATCTGAAGCCGTGGAGAACCAGGGGACTTCACTCACAGCCCGGGGCAGCCCTGTCCACCTACTCACACGAGTGGCTGGCCCCCCTCGTCCATCTGGGCTTACTTGAGCATAGATCTTCTGCTCCTTCTCTTGCTTGAGGGGGACGTCAAACTCAGGCTGACCTATCTGGACAGGAGAGATGCTGGAGAGCAACAGAATGTGATGGAGCGGTGGGTGAGGGTGGAGTGGAGACGGCCGTGGATGTGGGAATGAAGGGGGGGTAGTGGAAGTGGGGGAGATGGGGGGGCATCCAGACACGGAGAAGGACCGAGACCTGAGGACTTCTTTCCGGGGGATGCTTGTGGTGTCCAAAAGCCCCAAGACCAGGTGGAGGCACTGAGACACCTCTCCCCCACCCCTGCACACACGGGGAGCAGTCAAGAAGGTGCGGAAAAACTCAGGAATCGTGTGAACCGCTGTTGTAAGGACAACAAACGACCACAATAATCGGTGGTGACTACAAGGTCAAAGCTGTGTTCATCGTGAGAATGTAAACATTCCTAAATGGACGTCGACCCTTTTCCTTTTGGCCCTTGAAGAGACACCACCAACGCCCAACCTTTTTGATTGAAAGCTGGGCAGAACTTTACAGAGGAAATCTCCACTGTTTCCACTGAACAGTCAGACACATTTTGCGTCATCCCCCCAACCCCCAAGGGAGGCTCCTGGAGGAGCCACCGCTCATGAGCCTTCTCCCTGGGGGTCCTCTTCCGCGCCCCCACCCCTTCTCTCCTCACCCTTCTGAACTTGGTCCTGGGTTCAATGCTGCCTTTCAACGTCTCAATGGTTGGCTCCTCTAAGGTGTTTGTACCTCTCTAGTGTTATCACTGCTCTTCTAGACCTGCCTATCGCTTGGGTGAACAGTGAGCCCTGGCGGGCAGTTCACAGGACCAGTCTCAGGGGTCCACCAGCCTCTACCAGTCCAGGAAGCCTGGCCCTTTGTATGCTTTGGAGGGCGGGTCCACATTTTCCTCCCACTCTACCCAAGACCTTCTAAGGCGATCTCTTTCAGAGCAGTTGGTGGTAGCCGGGCACCATCTAGTGCTTCTGGTCTCAGTCATGGGGTAGACGTTCGCGTGGTCCTTTGGTCCCCGGGACTAATGTTTCCAAGAGGGTCTTCAACCCGCTTCCCTCTTCTTCCCTCCAAAGGTTTGCCCATGATCACGCTCAGATGGTCGCCCACCAGCTTTCAATACCCCAATCAGTACTCACCAAAGGAGGAGGAGAATTTTGTCTTTGTGAACACTCTTATACCGATCGACTTTGGCTTTAGGTGGTTTGATTTTAATTTTGAAGTGAGTGAAGATTTACGGAGGAGTATCAGGGACTTTTAAGAAATTCACAACAGCATTTTTGATCCACGCTTTTTGAGGGGGGTATTTAAAAAAACGTTTACATTTTGTTCATTGTGGGTTTTTGCGTTCATTTTTGATACCTCATGAGAAGGCGGTTGGTCTTGATTGCTGCATCTGGCTCTTGCGAGACCTCCACTTCCTGCCACTAGTCTTGACCTTGCTTGCCCTTGATTTTATTTTCCACCTATTTTTTTCAATGCCCTCCTCCTGCTTGGCACTACATCCTTACCCACTTTTTTGAAACAACAACAGAAGCCACCAAGACCTCTTTAATAATCGCTTGGGTCCAACCTTTAAAAACGAAAAGGTTTCTATGCCCATGCCTCAGCTTCCTTGTTGCCCCTGTCAGTTCTGTAGAGTCTGCTTGCACTCCAGAGTGCACAGCAGAGTGAAGCGTTGCTCCATCCTGCATCCTGCTTAAGTCCAATGAGTCCATCTGAGTCCAGACAACCTGTGCCTGTTGGCACACTGGTCTTTAAAACTGTCTCTGGAAGGTTTCCATTATTCTTATTCTGCCTTCGGTGAACCCAGAAGTCTCAAGAACCCACGGCGGCCACTTTATTTGGAAGCTGTTCTCTGTGTCCTCTGTGGACACCCACATTGGTCTCCCGGCCACACGTGTCTCTGAGTCTTTCCTTCTGCCCAGAGTCCTTCCTCTGCCATCTCTCCCCTCCACATCTGCTTCTTTTTGGTCCTCAGGTCAATGGCAACCATGTCTTCCCACTCATCCCAAACCAAAACTGTGGTTTCTCCTCCTGGTTTATTGGTACTCAGCTCATCTCCCAGTCCCACGAGCATCACCACCACTCACCACCACTGGCATGAGTTTGCACAAATCCCCATGCCTGGCCTTTCCTTTCCACAAAGATGCTCAACATCTCCAGCTGCCCTTCAAGGCTGTATTCGAGCCTGCACAGGACAGCCATCAGCACATCTGAAGGTCCTCAGTACCTCTGCTTTCTAGTGTATTCAATCTTATTACCTCCACCTGGCTCTGACCGCTCCCAGCTCCTCCCCCCCGAAACCACCATTGCCACCAGGTGGATTTCAACTGAAAATAACTGCAGGTGTAAGACAGACAGAGTAGAACTGTCCCACCGGGTTTCCACAGCTCTCGAAATCACGGTCTCTGTGTAGGAGAAAGATGGGGCTTTCTACTCCCTTAATGGTCTATGGTCTCAGAAACCCACAAGGGCAGTTCTGCTCTGTCCTATAGGGTTACTGGGTGTGGGGAACATCTCGCTGGCAGTTAGTTATTGGAATCGTGATGGACAGAGACCTGATGGCACAACTGGGCAGTTCCTAAAGGGACTATCATAATCTCTATGGAAGCCGACTGCCACCTTTCTCCCGAAGAACAGCTGGTGATCTTTGCAGTTAGCAGCCAAGCACACTGACCGTTAGACCACCATTGTTACCAAAAGTAACAATGACAATAAACCCCAAAACAATAACGACAAAAACAAAGAAATCTCACCAAACCCATTGCCATCTGACTGCTAGAAACCCTATAGCACAGGGCGGAACGTCCCCAGATTCCCCAGGCTATGAGTCATGATTACAGCAGAGGGTCACTGGAAAAAAAATCTCGCTGCCATGGAGCTCACTCTGACTCATGCTGATGCTGCAGGGCAGAGTAGACCTGCCCCTGTGGTTTCTGATTCTAGATCATTACGGGAGGAGAAGGTCTCATTTCCCCCCGCAGAATGGCTGGTGGGTTGGGACTGCTGATATACTGCAGTTAGCAGCCCACCCTTAAGGCACTGAATGGACGCGACGACTGCCTCCGTAGGCCCACATAGGACCCTTGTGTGGACTGTGCAGGGCCGGGCAGTGTCTCGTTCCACAGCCCACTGGGGTTTGGCCAGAGCATTCCTCACCTGGATGACGGGCGGCTGCGAAGAGGTGGGATGGGGCTGCAGGTAGGCTCTGAAGAAGGGGAAGTAGTCATACTGACCCATCAGAAGCGCCAGCGTCCTGTTGAAGTCAAAGGCGGTCCAGTTCCCAGAAACCTGCCAGCCTCCAAGCTGGGAGGGAAAGGAGCACAGGGTCTTGGTGATCTGTCCCCATCCATCAGACTGCCATCACACCCTGACTTCCGCCGAGTCCACCCCTCCAGGCCCCACCCCCAGTCTCATGGCACACCAGCTCTACCTGCCTCCTAGAGCCTGGGGAAGGGGCCCACCCACAGACATGCAGTGCTCCTGCGTGCTATGCATCTAGAGCAGTGGAGGCCTGGGTCTTACCTGCTCTATAACTTGCCTGAGGGGACCGGCCCCCGCAGCTTCAATGGCAGCAGTGTCCATGCAGGAGTTGTAGAAGTGGACAGCCTTCTCCTCTCCGGAGCCGGGGGGCCAGGAGGCTGGGGCCTCTGGAAAGGAAGTGAGGGCATGGGTCCGCACAGAACAGACAGGGAGGGTGGGCGAGCAGGGGCTCACGGGAAAGAAAAGACCCCCAAGAAGATGGAAAGAAGGGGGAAACAACCAGATGAGGGGAGCTTGGCTGTTGGTGGAAAACTACGAGGAGGAGAAGACGTGGAGGCAGAAGGAGCCCCGGGAGTCCTGGTGTATGGAGAAGAGGTGGACTCGGAAGAAAAGATTGGGGTGGACCAGGACACCAGAAAATGGTCAGGAGACCAGAGAACTGGGGGGGACTCAGAGGGAAACCTCACAGAAAGCTTTCCAAAAGAGA